TGCCTTTTCCTCATCCTTGCTGGCAACATAGAAAATGACCCTCTAGACTGACACATGTCAGAAGATGAAATGCTATCATTCCAGTGTTCAAGCCAACCACAGTGAATATAAGATACTAGGAGATGCATGTGTCTTAAACATGAAGCTGAACTGAGTTGAAATTCAAATTCCTAAACATCACATATCTGATATCTGTTACACTGTTACATACATATTTGACACTTCAACCAAAATACACTGTATATTAAATAAAAAAGAAAGTATGTGGTAATAAAGACCTTGCTGTAACTGATTTTCAAGTTCTTCAATTCGCTCTTCATATTCACTCAGCTCTTCTCGGTGTCGACGACTTATCTCTACTAGCTTTTGTCTGTGTGCATCCTGCAATACTGAAAGTTCATGTTGATGTTCATCTATTTCTTGACTTAAATTCTGTTTGAGCTCCTAAAAATATCATTAGAGAAACAGGGTGGTAAAATACAGTACAGAAGCTTAAGAAAGAAAAAGTATAAAAGAAACAAAAAACTTTTCCCTAGTAAAACTAAAAGGATTTATTATAGGATCTCTCACAGGAGATGTCAAGTTCCTTGGCTTTTGTTGGTTGGGGTTTTTTTTAAAACATGTTAGAAACCATTCCTTTTAAAAACATGTTTACACAAACAGCATGCTCTACACAACAGCACATACTAAACCAACGTAGAGAGATTACAACTCTTTCATAGGAAGTGGATACAGTACGACATATTTTTAGTAACCGTCAAGGATGACATGCAAATCTGTATTTTGCATCTTTAACGAAAAAGGTCAAGATGTTTCTGAGAAGGGAGAACTATTTTCTGTATCTAAAATTCAGTCTCATAAGTCATTAATAGCTTCTGAAAGTGATTTGCCCTCATAAATACTAATATGATTCTTTTAAGCTTACGTACTATATTCATCAAATCATATAAATACCCGCTCAGAATAACTGTTTTTAAATATTGTACTGCTGACTGAAATGCTGCTGTGCTGCTACATGCCCACATGCATTTTTAGTAGAGAAAAATGTTAAGTGCCAGTGTTGTAAATATTTTAACTACATTCACAAGTCAAGTGACCATATGCAAAACCATCAAGAATAAAGCATAAGAGAAGATTAGTTTGCCAAAGTTGTCATCTTACCTTAACAATATTTTGCAGTTTGCACATTTCACTTTGTTCAGCATCATTTGTCCCTTGCACTTTGGAAGACTGAGAAAAGAAAAAAATCACATATCGATGTGAAAACTGTGATGAAAATGTGTATTTTTCACATAACTGCTTCCTCTATTGATACTCAAAAGCAGAAAACAACAAAGCTAACATAAACAAAAATTCAAATTGACAGTAATTTTGATTTTAAAAAAAAAGACACTTCAATGGAAATATTTTAATTTCCCATTGATTTTTTTTTATTATTACATGCAAATGTGTAAACATTTGGGGTGGAAGGGTGTTATTGCACCTAATAAGACAACAAGGTTGCTTAATTTTACTCGAGTATTTCCACATGGGAAAAGTATACCTCTGAAATCAGGCTATAGCTTGAAAAATGATGATCACATCAACAACAGCTTGAAAGATTATATTCTTTCTTGTCTTAGCAGATCATGAATTACAACTCACATGTCAAGGACTAAGAGAAGAATAGGTAAAAACAGTATGCAAGTATCCAACTATCACTTTGAACAGTATTGTGCTGTCAATAAATAATCAGTAACACAGCCAGGAAGAAGAAAAGTATTTTTTTGAAAGGCTACACAAAAATGAAACCCTGGAATTAGTATTCCAGGCAAATGTTTATGAAACACTCTTCCTAACTTGACAAGTCATGCATAAAAGCATCATGAAAATGCATTTGGCAGTTAGTCACTGAATGTGTCCCTAGTCATGGGACAGCAAGAAAATGACTAAAAAATCATTAGGTTTCAGCTTTTCCTTCAAATCATGTTGCTTCTGGAAACTGTACAGCATGAACTTTCAAAAGACCCACTCCAAAAACACCAAATGCAATGAAAACACTAATTTGGAGGGGAGAAGGCAGGGTAAGACAGAGGGGAAACACTCACCAGTGCAATCTGCTTCCAGTGGTCAACCTCCGATTCAAGCCTAGAAACTTCATTGGACAATCTGTTTATTTCTTGTTGTGACCAGATTATATCTCCAAAATCCATGTCATCTCCTTCAAAACCTGAGGAATGTCTGACCACTGGAACATAGGAAGCTGATGTAGTGGCTGGTGGCAAAATACCAGCTCCTAACTGTGCTGACTGAGCAGCCGTCTGTACTTTCTGCAGTTGCTCCTGTAATGCATTCTGTCTAGCTTTTAGATGGCTGATTTCCACCTGAATATACACAATAAAATGCATTGTTTCAATAAGAAGAGTATCAAAATACACTCTACTTTACCCCTTGTGGTCTTATGAAATGTGAACCAAGCAAACAACTCCCCCCTCAGCACAAATTACTGATCACTTTCACTAAAAAGAAAAAAACCCAAACGCCCTCCTAATGGAGAAAAGCAGTCTTAGTTGATGTTTTTACAAAGTATCTCATACAAGGACACATATTAAAACTTATAGTAGTTTTCAGTTAAGTAAAACTTCAGTAAAAGTGCTGATTTTTTTCAGCAGCCAAGTTACCTATGTACTACAGCAAGATTCAGGCTAACAGGTTGTACAAAAAATTTAAATATTTAAAGAGGGCATTGAGATATGCAAGTTAAGCAATATTTGATGCTCCCCAGTTATATTACATCTGATTTCTTTTACTTTTAACAACTCAATGTATTGAAAACACATTATTTACAATAAACTGAAATTAGCTGCATGCAATTTTCTTGTAACAACTCTGTTATTGTACTTAATAAGCAGAATTCTACACATCTCAAAATTCTGCTTCCTCTAGTTCCCACGTTTTTACAAATAAAGCAGAAATAAAACTCCCTTTGTGTAATTCTAGGCATACTGGCAACTTTCCTCATTTAAAAGGCTATGAAATCTCATGTTACACAATAGGTTATAAAGCTGAAGTTTCCATCACAAAGGGACAGCTCTCAAATTATGAAAGCTAGTTCTGTTCCCTGTAACTGTATATGTTAAGATAAGTAATTCTTCAAACAAGAATTTGCTCCTGTTGCCTTCCTTAAAGATAACTGATTCAGAAATATAAAGCTGTTTAAGTGTCCCTTCTCACAGTGATTCCAGAAACAACAGAAATTCTGATATATGCATGACATTCCCAGAGAGTTTTTTCATCTCAACTATCTCCTGGCAGCTCTGCTTATATTACGTGATTCAATGAAATAGATGTCTTAAGTCTGTCAGTGTTTACATTAACAAACCAAAGAAACCATAACCATGACCAATATTTCCACTGAAAGAGGACAGATATTATAACAAAGAGATTAAACAGCATAATACATAAGTTTATTGGACAAACTTAGTCAAATATTTTACTCTGTATCCTACCTCTTTCTGTTGAAGCTGATTTCTGTACTCTATAGATAACTGCTTTATTTGAAGTTCTGCTGCTTCATGCTTTTCTTCTAAATCACTACAAACTTTTTTCAGCCTCTCATTCTAGCAAAAATGAGAAATGAATGTTGGCAAATTTGGAACAGTTCTTACAGAATTAGAAAAGCGTAAGTCTGCTGAACAGTAAAGAAATCAATTTAATTGTACAGATTTCTCATGTTATTTCACTCAAACACACAGTAACAGTTAACTTCCAAGTGCGGGCCCAAATTCACATTCACATCCAAGCTTTCCATTTTTACATGGCATGGACTCTAGCTCACTTTCAGAAAAAGGTTTGTGGTGACCAGAGATAAATGCCAAGAAGAAAAATTCAGGGCTGAATTACATCTTAGCATGATCCACACGTGGAATTTAACAACAGTCACAGTGCACAAATCAGAGCTAATATCCGTACAGTCCAGTATTCTCTCTCTGACATTGGCCAATAGCAGACGGCAAGAGTCTAGAAAAAGGACAAGTAGGAACAGTTACTTCCCCAAAATACTATCTTAACTTCTCAATGCTCCTGAGGGCTGAAGACATACATGAACATTGTTGGTTTACAGCCATAAAGTCAAAAGACCAACAAGTCCTCTGTAAGGGTACAAAAAGTCACTTTCCACATGGGCACATGGGATTTTAAGCAGTTTTGGAAAAGCACAAGCATCTGTAGCTATGTCAAAATGACCATACAGTAGGGCAACACATAGAACTGCATGAGGGAACACGCACACTCTGTACTTTGAAGCTTGATGCAAAAGACATACTGTCCAGCCTAACTGGGCATTCTAGATCTGCTTTTATTTGTGGTCATACATGAAACACTATAAACCAATCTTAACTCTTTACCAGCTAAAACTTATGAAAACTTAAAAGATTTTTGAATTTGCAAGCTTTTCAGAGCCAAGTCTACTGCCACGGTCCAAGTCCACATGATAGGTTGGAACAGTTGCAGGATGCAGCAGTCAGTAAAAGATGAAAACTTGCACCACATGCATACTCCAATAAACAAATGTGTTCCCCTAACTATGATGGCAGTTTATCAGCAAAAAAAAAGAGCCACATTCTAATATCACTGTCACCCTTGTTTCTAGATTTACCCAGGGACAAGCAACTTCAGTGCAATATTTCACCTTTACAAGAAACAAATGTTATTTACTGCTTTTAATTACAGTAGCGTTCCAAAATGTCTTACTTCAAACTTTTGTGCTGCATTAATACTTTCTATTTCTCTGAGTCTAGAATTGGACACATGGAGTTCTGTTGCTGCATCTGAAAGAAAGTGAAAATTTTAATTTTTATTAAACTACTTTTAATCTGTTAAGTAGACATCAGTTATACCACAGTTATTAATAATAAGTATCTTAGACTGCTTTAATGTTCACTCCTAAGTAAATATCAAAAGCTGCTTTTGTCAGAACACTGTCAGAATTATTTTTCAGACCAGAGAGTCTTTCTGAACCTAATTTAGTTCTCTCTTATCTAGGCTTTTAGTCAGATCACAAAACTAACACGGAAGTATGAATTTAAGCTTTAAAATACGGGAAATGAAAAGTTTTTACTTGACTATTTTGAATCTGTTTTTCATTTAGGACTTTGCCCCTGATGTTACAGTTGTGTGTTTTTTCATTTACAAAGGTGACACAACCTACCATACTGGTTTATCTAATACAAAAAGCACATAATTTTGTCCCTGGATACTCTTCCTTAATGATCAATCTTCCTCGAACAGGCTATGTTTACTTCTCCGATGTCCCACTTTTCATGGATACAAATACCACATTTCCTTTTATTAATGAGAAATCATCCTGAACTGACTATAAAGCAACCTTAACAATTTTTCGAAATTTGAAATAAACGTAATTTTCAAGTAAATACTATATTTCATCATTTCCTATGTGCTGTTTAAAACTGAAGCAGAGGCAACAATCTACCCATGAAAACTGCTAAACTGAAGATCTTAAAGTCTATAATCCACAAACATAATTTTCAGTTCAGATGGCAATCAAAGCAGTGAATGTAAGGGATAATATTAAAAATCAGGAAAAATTAGATAATTAGGAAATGAAAAAGAGGAATGTAAGGAACTGCTTGAAAAGTGTTCTTCAGGTCACTATGTGAAGTGACCTTTAGGGAAGAGTACTTCTTTAGGGAAGAGTACTTAGGTGCCACTAGACTTTTACACCCTCAAAGCTAGTAACCTGTAAAAGTGTACTGGTATTATTAGAAACAGAAGTTTCTTACAGCATTATCTAGCAGTCAAGTACACCTGGAACTAACTACTGAACATCAGCACATCTCTCTTGCACAAACTAAAGCAAAAATGTGTGAATCAGAATCTCGATTTGTCTTTTAAAAAGGCAAAACAAACACACTAGATGACTACACAGTTTGGCAGCATAAAATAAGTTTCCAAACTAAACTAATATGGATTTTGGAATTTAAAACAAACCTAAACAAGCCTTTCTGAAAAGAGAAAAAAAGACAATTTTGCAGTTATCAGAGTAAATTTCTCTCTTCTGAGCATTTTACCTGTATACCAAAAAAACCTATCCATATCAGACTAGTAGTATCAGCTTGCCAACAAGATTTATACAATACTTTCACAATGCTTCATAGTTCTGAAGTTGAAAACAAAGAATCGCTTAATTTCACATTTAAGACGAGTATTCAGAAGTCTTACCTGTTCTCTGCAGTTACTATTCTTAACACTATTTTGAGAATGCTCACTTTTTTCAAGAAGTTATAGTTTCAAGATAGTAAACAATACTAGTGATATTAACCTACTGATATTTATTACCATGTTATACAATTGCTTTACTACAGAAATCAAAGGTTTCATTCAAAAACTCGTAAGAAAAAGGCATTATTAAATATACAAAGAAAAAACTATAGTCTAGAATAAGTTTACTACTACATTAATATCATCTTTTTTGTTTCAACTTTGTTTTAAATATAAATCTTCTTAGCTTCTAATGCCTCTAAAACAAGGGCCGTGTTCTCCCACTTGGCTGTAGGAGAATAGCAGAACTCCACAGGTATCTCTGGGCCCAACTGAAATATAAACAACAAAACCATCAGAAACACTGGACCTTTGCCTGTGTGACACGTCAGACTTAGATCACAACAGTGGCAAAAAAACCCCTTGTACTACTACTACTCTGCAGTTTTATGAAAGCACTCTAAAAGCAGCTAATCAAGATAAACTAAGCAAACAGAATGGAAGAAGAGCATTGTTTATGTGCTTTAGTTACTGATCAATGCTTCACGCAATTCAGAAACTTCCGAATAATAAACCTGAAAAAGGTTTATCTCTGCTATTACAGTCTGAGAATATGTTTGTTTATCCTCCAGATTCTGAGGTCACAGGGGCGGAATAAAAACGACAGCAAAGCCAGCAGCTCTCCCGAAAGGCACCAAGCCGCGGTTCA